CCCCCGCCCCTTTTTCCCTGCCCCCCTCAACCCCCTTCCCATCCCCCCGCCAACGCCCCCCAGCCCACAGCATCCCCCGCCCCCTTCCCATCCCCCGGGCCCCCCAGCCAACACCCCCAGGCCCCAGCATCCCCCCCCCTTTTTCCCGCCCCCCCGGCCCCGCCCGCACCTGGTACTCGGCCTCCATGGAGCCGTTGCCCGGCGCGCCCTGGTAGAAGCACTCGCGCCGCCCGGCGGGCAGCAGGAAGGTGAACTCGGCGTCCTGCGGCGGGGGCGGGCCGGGGGCAGCGCGGCGCGCGAGCCCCCCCGGGCCCAGCAGCAGCAGCAGCAGCCGCCAGCCCAGCGCGCGCCAGGCGGCCGCCATCATCCGGGCACCTGAGCGGCGGGAGCCGAGCCCCGCCCCGCGCCGAGCGCCGCGCGCGCTGATTGGCCGCCGGGCCGCTCAGGGCGCGGAGAGCGGGCTGGGAGGGCCCCGCCGGCCGCGGCGTGGGGCAGAGGTGGCCGCGCTAAAAGCCTGATCCGGGGGCAAACGGGCGCCGCAGCCCCCAACGCGGCAGAAGCCTGCCCCTGGGGAAGGGCCCCGCGGCTGACCCTAGGGAAAGACATGAGCGAACAAGCGCAGGCGGGTCTGTCAGGCAGTTGTGCAGTCACCTAAAGACGGTCAAGCCGGCCTTCGGGGGTCTTTGTGGCTCTGAAGGAGGGATTGGCCCAGGCATGTCCCACCCTCTGCAGTATCGGATTAGCTCATTGGTCCAGCCAGCCTGACCATCCTGCAGTATCCGAACAGTGCGTTGGCCTCTGCCAGTATCAGCTCAGGCCATTGGTCCTGCCCAGCATCCCGGCCCATGAGCCCATTGGTCCATCTAGCCCCCAGTTCATGAGCTCATTGGTCCATTTAGCCCAGTGTCCCCAGCCTGTCAGCCCATTGGTCCCCCACAGCCCCTGCAGTGGCCAATCTCTGATGAGGCTACAGAGGGAACCAAACTCCCATAATGCACCTGGGCAAGAGGTCAATGCTCAGGGCCAGAGCCAGGGCTGGTGGATGGAGAGGGTGGGCAGGGCAGGGCAGGGAAGCAGAGCGGGTCCCTAGGCAGGCCTGGAAGCGCGGCTGGGGCCAGACAGACAGATGGCGTCTGGCCTTTGACTGCCCCCTTGCGGGTGGGGCACGTTCAGGGAGCAGAACTCTGGAGGGGTATCGTCTGTGGGAATCTCCCATCATGCTCCGCTCCAGGAGGATGGGCTCAGACAGGAAGGGCTGCTTGGCTTGGCTTGTGGGTTAAGACACTGGGCTGGGACCCAGGAGATTTTGGTTTCAATGCTCAGCCCTGCTACAGACTCCCCTGTGTGAGTCACTTCATCAGAGAATGAGCCCTTCCCTGCCTCACAGGGCTGCTGGGAAGATCAATATTTTCATGGGGCTCAGAAGCCGTAAGGAGTGGGGCCGGATAAGGACCTTGCTAGGCAGAGGGGGGAAGTGGTATTTTTCTATCAGCCCTGCTCCCCTCTCACCGTGCAACGGAATTGGAAGGAGGGGGCTGGGACAGAGCCATGACGGAGTCCATCTTGCTGCTGCGACGAACAAGAAGCAGCCGCCGGTATCCAAGGGACGCAGATGAACTTTCGGTCACAATAATTTGGCGTCTCATGAGTGTGGCCGTCAGAGATCCTCCACAGAATAAGGCTGGCTGGAAACCACATATGAACTGCCATAGGCACAAGCAAGGCTGATGTCTGCCTAGTAGGGGGCTGTGATGGACACATGCTCCACACACCGCTTGTGTGTACACATGTTATCTACCCATGCACAAACAGCACTCATGCAAACAACACTTGAACACACAAATTTACATGTGATGGCTACTATCTTGGCCAACATACCGAATACTGAACAGGGAACTTTGTGAGTTTCTACAATTTAAGCTAAAGAGCCAAGCTCTCGGGCTGAGAGCTCTAAGAGACGCACACCCTCTGGGTTGGGCGCAGAGGGAGAATTCATAACACACATGCACACATAAGACCATGTGCAGGTACAGATACATGTGCATCATCTCACCTCTGATATTCAGCGAGTGCATTTCTACCTGTGCTTGTTCGTTCTACTTGTCTCCACTGCTAACCTTCAACTGGGGCGTCTTCCCTTTCAGCTCGTCATGAGGTTATTCATCATTTCCTGTCAAAGTGTTGTGCAAGCAGTGCTGTGTCCCACTTCAGTAATGGGGGAAGTGATTCCCATATAACTTGTAAAGTATTTGGAGATTTAGAGAAATATAAATGGGTCGTAGCCTTGGCCTGAAAGCTGCAGTCCATTGATGTACGGTAAGATCACAGGAAACTGTCACAAGATTTAGGGCCTGAGTGAGATCTTAGTTTTGCTTGCTGTAAATCTGGAGTAACTCCATTGACTTTACACTTGAGGTCACTGATTCTGGCTCTCAGTAACGCTGATGAAGTCAGTGGAATCACACCAGTATCAGATTGGCGTGAGAAGAGAATTGTGCATGTAATTACACCAGGGCTGAGGTCGCTGGCAGTCTCAGCCCTTTGGCTTTTATGTGAGGCTTTACATTCTCATTGCCGTAGGAAAAGGAAGAAAAGCCCTTTTACGTTCCGGGACGTTCCGTAATTTCCTCCCGAGATGGTGAAATTCCATCTTGGGCAAAACTTCCTTCTCCTTTCCGGGTACTTCTAGCTAGGAACTTTCCATGCATGTTGGGCTCCTACTGTCTAGTCACCAAAGACCCAGGACGCTCAGCAGAAAGATGAGCCTGAGGATTCTCTTTCTCTTAGCTGGTATGTTTTCTTCCCCTCTGTTTAAACTGTATTGGAAGCTTTTCCTCTGAGTGTTCCTCCAGGACGAGGGACCTGAAGAAGCTCATGCTGTATCGTATGGCTGAGGCCAGTTATAGATTGGAGGTGAGGGGAATAAGTGACCAATGATTTGGTAACTGAAGGGCATGGGGGCTGGGCTTTATCTCCAGAAGGGATTTCAGCAGGAAAATGGAGGAAGCTGTCAATGCAGCGGAGTCATGTTTACACCCATTTGAGCCTTTGGGTCAAATTTGTCCCTGGCATAAACTTTGGAGGGCTCCAGCCCCAGCCCAAACGTCTACACTGCAATTGTTAGCCCTGCAGCCCAGCCCCGGTGCCACAGGGGTTTTATTGCAGTGGGGACGTGCCCTCTGAGGCCTCTTTCGGAGAGCTGTGGATCAACTCCTGGGTGTTTCCTGAAGCTGGCGCTGCTGTGCTTCCCTGTGTCCCCAGGGGCAGGCAGGGCAGAAGCTGGCATTGCCACAGCCCATGCTGTCCCCAGTGGGCAGGACAGGAGCCCGTCCTGTGGTGTGCAGGAAACTGCCAGTCTGTGGGCACCTTGCATCATCACTTCGCTCCATCTTCCCCTGGCTATTCCAGGCTCGTTGGCAGGTCCCAGCCTAACTCCCGCCCCACTTTTTTACTTGGACGTGTCTTCTGACCCCCCTGCCCGAGGAGACTCCGCCCGGCTCGTCTGCATCGCGCCGAGTGCCTACGTGGAGAGCGAGTTCTGGTTGCTGAAGACGGACCTAGCTCAGCCTGTACAGACGCTGTTTGCCTCGGAGGCCCAGCACCAAGTCACCTTCATCCTGGGGAACGTCACCGGGAAGGACACCGGGCAGTACCGGTGCCAGTACCGCCGCTACAACGGGAGTGCCTGGCAGATGTCAAAGTTCAGCAATGTGGTGGAGATCGCGGTGGCAGGTAAAGGGCTTTTAGATCTGAAGGAACCTGGCTGAGCTGAGGAGAGAGCGGGGGAGTGTGGGCAAGTGTAGTGCAGTTCTTCTCCCCCTCCCCCCCCCCGAGCTCTGCCGGCGCCCCTCCGTCCTGAGCCAGCCCTGGGCTCCCTCGACCTCCCCCAGCTCCGTTGATGCCTCTCAGCCCTCCAGTGCTCTTCCAGTCCTACTCTGCTGGGGCGAAAGGTTGGTGCACCAAGCCAGCTAGTCCAACTCAAAGCTGCTGGCCGAGGCTGAGCTGAAGAGTTTGTAAGGTAGGTCAGGTGCCTTCCTGGTGGTGAGAGCAGGGAGCTGCATGGTGAAAGGTACCAAGGGCGGCTTGGGTGTCAGACTTCTGGGCTCTGATCCTGGTTCTGGGAGAGATTTTGGTTTAGCTAGCGCGTGAGGCTGAGATAGGACTCCTGGGTTTCCTTCCCAGTACTGGGTGGGAGTGGGGCCTCGTGGGTCAAACAGGAGGGCTGGGCGTGGATCCCGTCCTGGCTGGAGGAGGGAGTGGGGTCTAGTCTTCAGAGCAGGATGTGGGTTGGCAGGACTCCTGCGGCCTGATCTTGACTCCGCAAACCGGTGTGAATAAAGCAACTTTTCAAACTGTCTCCTCCTTTCTTTTCCATTGAAAATCTGTCAACATCCCCTCCCCCAGCAACTCCGACTGCTCCTCCCCCAGCTTCCACGGCTGCTCCAGAAGGTAAGGGCAAGGACCGAGGGAGGCAGGGAATCTGCCAGGGCTTGGGAAACAAGACCACAGCTCCGAGCCGGGGTTGGGGGGAGAACCATGGGGAAGGCCGTGGCTATGACGGAGATTGGGGGGCGCTCACCCTGTTCCAAAGCTGCCCACTTGCGGGTACAGTCTGGTGCTCGGAGTGGGGAGGGCTGTGTGGGGTCCCTTTGGTATCTGAAAAGGGCCAGGTAACGCCAGCTGTTTCTCTGCATTGTCCAGGTTCCCCGTGGCTGCTCCCTGTGACCCTCAGCGTGGCTGGAGCTTTGCTTCTGACCGTGGGCCTAGTGGTAGCAGTTGTGGCAGTCAGGCGAGGTACGAGGAGGGCAGAAGCTGGGTCCTGGACTGCCTGTGATCAGCTATAGAGGTCACCTGTAGCTCGGCTGGTGTGGCAGGGTGTTGTTATACCGCAGGGGACTGGGACTCAGGACTCCTGGGTCCTGATCCTGGCTTTGCCACTGGGTGTGTCCTGGACAAGTCATTGATGACAGTCATTTTCCAAAGGGTCCACTAGCCAACTAGACCCCCCCTAGGCTGATACACAGAATTGCTGAGAACCCACCACTCCCATTCATCTCAACTGGAGACATGGGAGCTGAGCAGTGCTCTCTCTCTCTCTCTTCCATCCACCCCCCCCCTATCTATCTATCTATCTCCGTCTACCCCCTCTATCTATCTATCTATTCCTATTCACCCCCATCTATCTATCTGTCTATCTATCTATCTATCCATCTATCCCCATACACCCTGTGACGTGGCACTTCATATGATTTTATGAAAATATGCTATTAAGTGTGACTATAATGTAACTGGAATATGCTTCATGCAAAAGGTCTCTTGTAAGGTATCATTACAAAGCTTATAATCTACTGCGTGTGTTCATCCTATTTGTATGTATGTATCATTCTTGTATCTGAAACTAGAAATATGAAATATAACTCTGAAGTCCTATTGTAATTATGCAAAGTGTGGGCCATTAATGGTGGTTTGGAATCTTAATGGCTCCCGTTAACCAGGACAATTGACTGTAGATGGCTCTGTTTACTTGCAAGCCTTCCTGTGAGTCAGGCCGGGAAGAATGAAGGCTTGGGGTCTCCCAGGACATGTGACCATGTCACCTGGTACTGGAATCCATCTTAAACCTGGTGCTTTTCCATTTAGAAGGAGGGGTGGGGACCCAGAGAGACAAAAGATTTTCGTCTTGTGCCAAAGCTGTAAAAGGGGGTGGAACAGAACAAAGGGGCCTGTAGTCATGAGAAATCCCCTAGCTACCACCTGAGCTGGAACAAGGGCTGTACCGGGGAAAGGATTGGGCCCAGACTAGAAAAGCATCTAGTCTGTGAAAGAAGCTTATTGGAACATCTCTGAGGGTGAGATTTCATCTGTATTCAGTTTCCTACTGTATTAGGCTTAGACTTGCGTGTTTTGTTTTATTTTGCTTGGTGACTTACTTTGTTCTGTCTGTTATTACTTGGAACCACTTAAATCCTACTTTTTATACTTAATAAAATCACTTTTTGCTTATTAATTGACCCAGAATAAGTAATTAATACCTGGGGGAGCAAACAGCTGTGCATCTCTCTCTATCAGTGTTATAGAGGGCGGACAATTGATGAGTTTACCCTGCATAAGCTTTATACCGAGTACAACGGATTTATTTGGGGTTTGGACCCCATTGGGAACTGGGTATCTGGGTGCTGGAGACAGGAGCACTTTCTAAGCCATTTTCAGTTAAGTCTGCAACTTGTGGGGGACGTGGTTCAGACCTGGGTCAGTGTTGCAGCAGGCTGGCATGTCTGGCTCAACAAGGCAGGGTACTGAAGTCCCAAGCTGCCAGGGAAAACGGGCTCAGAGGTAGTCTCAGCACATCAGGTGACAATCCCAAGGGGGTCTCTGTGATCCAGCCCGTCACACATCTATCTATCTATCTATCTTACCCCCAGCACTGCTTTTATGACACCATAACATCTGTTTCCTTTTTACCAGTTAACGCCAGAAGACAACAGCTGAAAAGGTGAGAGACGCTCAGGAAATCTAATGTCACTTGGTGACAGTGGCTCATGTGGCCTAAGGAGAAACTTTCCCCACTTTCAAAAATCATTAAGGAGCATAATTCTCATTGGCTTTCAATGGGATTTAGGTGCCAGAGTGCCCAGATCCCTTCTGAAAATTAGATTTGGGGTCCTAAGTCACTTGGATGCTTTTGAAAATGTCTCCTGAGGCCGGGAGGGGCTGGAGCAGGGCAAAGTGTCCTCGTTAGTTATGGATCTCACTGTGTCTGCTTTGCAGGGATCAGGAATCGTGCTGGACAGAAAGGAACTTTCCCACAACAGGTCTGTGTTAGAGTCAAATACCAAGTGCTTGTGAGGTCAGGGCGACCCCGAGGCGGCCTTGACAGCTGCCAGGAGGAGGCTGCGGGTGACGTGTCTGGAGGTGGAAGGACCAGGAGCCGGGACTCCTGGCTCTGCGGAGGCTTGTGGTCTGCTGGTTCAGTCACTGGGGCCTGGCAGCATAGGCTCCTGGGTTCACTAACTTGCAAATGAAGTAAGTCAACCTCTCCAAGCCTCTGCAGCATTTCCTGGCAGGTCCTGTCCTCTCCTGCTGGGGGGCATTGCTGTGCACTGGGAAATAATTGCCATGTTCCACCCCAGAGGCAGTTGACATTGGCAGTCGGCAAAGTGATCCCTTTGGGGTGAGAGGGGCTGCAGGTCTGCGAGGCCTGGCCCCAGTAACGTCACTCCTCTCTCCTTTTGCAGACATGTCGTTCGATAATGGCCTGTTCACCGTCTCAGTGGTAAGTCGTCGCCTGAGGGCTTTGCGGAGAGGGCGTGAGCTGCCATGGGGCACACAGGCTGTTCTCAAGCTGGGCGCGGCTGCTGGGTCCATGGGCGAGTATTTCCCAGGCCAGCAGCTGCCAGGCAGCCCCCTAGTCAGGGGCTGAGCTTGCATTGCAGTGGCATGACGCAGCCGTCTCGCCCGGAGGGTGCAGTTTGCAAAGGGTTAATGGTTGATCCCCCATTCCCCCCCCCAAGCTGAGCCCCCCATAGATCCTTACTTTATCCTCTCTCCCTGTCTCTCCGTCCACCTTCCATTTGGCAAGACCATGGACCTGGAAGCCACAGGCAGCCAAGATGCCTACATCTCCCCAGGCTCCAGGAAAAGCCTCCGCTCCACTTCCTCTCTGGGAACCAACAGCTTCAGCACGTTCAAGTCCTTGCAATGAGGGCCCGGGTGGAGGCCGGCCCCGGATGCTCCAGCTAGCGACCCCCTGGTCCCGGCCCCAGCCCTTTCCTTAGTCCTTCCTTGGGCTCGGAGTCTCCCCCAGAACAGGGCATCTGCCAGAGGGGCCATTACGGGGGTGCGAGAGGAGAATGAGCTTCAGTTAAGCCTCGTGCCTTGCTGTGCGCCTCCAGGATCACGTGACATGGACACCATGAAAAGACGCCCAGACTCTAGTCTACCTCCCGCACCGTGAGCAGCGTCACCGGCTCAGCCCTGGCAGCTGACTCGATCCCTGGGGGAGATGCTAGAAGTAGGAAGAGACCAGCTGGGGTTGCATATCTTTGGGGCAGGATTCGTGTGCCTGGCAGTGGATTCTTCCACCGTAGCCAGAACGACATTCACACCAGCCAGCCAACCCTTTCCACCCCTCCACAATCCCTTTCCTCCAAGCAGCGCTTCCCCAGGATGACCTGACACGGGGGGAGAGCCAAAGACTCCATAAAGTCCATTGCCGTGAAGGCTGTCGTCAGACTATCGTACACGGAAGGCGCTCCTGGATTGCGGTGATGAGCAGCAGCTGTAAACCTGAGATGGACAGAGGATGCACATAGGGATGGATAGATAGAGGGGTGTGGATGGACGGGTGTGTCTGGGGATGGACATATGGGGACGGATAGATGGGTGGGTGGGAGTGGGGATGGATGGATGGATGGATGGATGGATATGCGGCTGTGTCTGGGAATGGACAGTTGGATTTGCACACCAAACACATTTCATCTGGAATCACGGAGGAGAGAACGAGCGTGGAAGCCCCAAAGGAACTGGTTTCCCGCCTAACTCCCCCCAACTCGAACTCCCTTGTCTTCTGCCTGAGACTTTCACTGAGGGGCTTTGCAGAATGTTTATACGTTTGCTTTTTGTTTCTGTAGGAAGTGAGTGTGGTCTAGCGATTAGACCAGGGAGCCAGGACTCCTGGGTTCTATACCCAGCTTGGGATGTGACCTTAGGAAAGTCTCTTCCCCTCTCTGTGGCAGAGTTTCCCTATCTGTAAGAGGGATGATAATGACCCCCCCCCAGGATTGTTTCCCAGGCTCTTTGAAGATATTAAGCACTAAGTGTTACAGTGTCTCCAGCTGCCACTGGAAACTGTAAGGTCATTTTCTGATTCAATAAAGATGTAAATTTGTTGTTGGGCGAGGGGTGAACTGTTCTGGAGAATTCTCTGTCTCCTTGTTGATGAGCTGGAGAATGTGTCTTGTCACTACTGCCCTCTCCTGGATGGGATGAGAGCTGTTTGGCTGGGTGTCACAAGCCCTATACTGCTAACAACAAGTGGTGATCCTCTTTTCACTCAGGCAGGATGAGATGATGCATTTGGGACAGAAGGAACCGGGTTTTCACGGTCTGCCGCAGCGTGGCAAGGGCTGTGAAGAGTCGTGCTCCAGAGCCCAAGGTTTAGTTCTTTAAAATCAAATCTCGCTCGCCCTTCACGGTGTGAGCCACAGCAATGGTGTGTACCTGAGTCTGCAGGCAGCCTGAACCTGCCTCTGAGAGCGGTGAACGGGCCTGTTCACAGGCTCATAGAAACGGGGGGCTGGCAGGGACCTCGAGAGGTCACCTAGTCCAGCCCCTGGCGCTGAGGCAGGACCAAGTAAACATAGACCAGCCCGGACAGGGGTTTGTCCGACCTGTTCTTAAAAACCAACCAATGAGGGGGATTCTCCAGCCTCCCTTGGCAGCCTGTTCCAGAGCGTCACTCCCCTGAGCGTTAGAAGGGTTTTCCTGGCTTCTAACCTCGATTTCCGGTGCTGCAGGTTAAGCCGATTCCTTTTGCCCTCCCCTCGGGGCCCACGGAGAACAGCTGATCCCTGTTCTCCTGACACTAGCTTCAGATACCTGGGCAGGCTAATCATCCCTATGGCTGTTGACTCTGGAGCCTAATGACCACGGTTTGATGTCTGCACTTTTGACTCTCCTGCTCTTGGTGGCCTGTGCTCCCCGGTGCCAGCCCCCGGCCTGGCCCCCTCCCCTGGCCCGTGAAGCTCTGCAGCCATCACCCAAGGTGTGGGGGCCATAGGGGGAGTCCTGCTGCATGTGTCCTGCCAGGATTGGCAGCCTGGTCCCTACCGCCAGCAGGGGGCGCTGTGGGCGGGACCAGCGGGGGGCGGGGGATGTGGGCGGGGCCGGAGAAGAGCGGTGGGCGGGGCCGGCCAGGGGGCGGGGCCGGCGGAGAGCGGTGGGCGGGGCGCTGGGAGCGCTGGAGGCGGGACCGGCGGAGAGCGGGGGCGGGGCGCAGTGGGCGGGGCCGGTGGGGGGCGGGGGCGCTGTGGGCGGGGGCCCGGTGGA